AGTGAGGTATTAGATTCCTTTCACCTTTGCCACTGAGTTTCTTTACTTTCCTCCACATACCTCGTGTGCCATTTATTCGCACCTGTTCCTGAAAATATGCCTTTTTTTCGTTCCTGCATGCATGGGTCGTATAGTTTTTCAACATTTCATAATATTCTAATTCCGCAGGATTTCGTGTAGCCTTCCATTTTTTGAACGCTCTATCTCTCAAACTCATCATAAATTTCAGGTTATCGGTTACCCAAGGAGTTGCTTTTCTAGTGATTTTCATAGTCCTGACTGGGGCGTGGTATTCAAATAGGGCCAAAAGTACGTTACTCAATAGATCAACTTTATCATCAACCGATTCCATGTACAAAATACTATCAAGTTGAAGGTTCTCGAGATCAATTGAAAAATTAGCATAACTGAAGTATTTGAAATCACGTATAGTCTTAAAAGTAGGTGATGTTTGAGGCACTTTGAAATCAATATCACATGCAGTCAATTCATGATCCGAAATATGCTCCAGTGAGACTACTTCTTTTTGCTTCACGATGTCCATGTTAGAAACAATGATCAAATCAATAAGAGTCGTAGAACGTGGAGTTATTCTTGTAGGAACATCAATTATTTGACTCAAGTCATATGTTTCGAGAAACGAATTCAGTAAGGCCACGTTATGAGAGCTGTGATTTAATAAGTCGATATTAAAATCCCCCATGCACACTATATCATCGTGAATGGGTAAGAGCATAGTAAAAGACGATTCGAGGCAGGTTAAAAAGTGTTTAACATTTGTATTAGGAGCTCTGTATGCAACCCCAATTGCTATACTATGTTTTTTATGAGTGATTTTAATCCATAGTTGTTCAATATTACGGTCCGTTTGTATGAAGGAGAATAGAAGTGTATTTTTTATATACATAATGACACCACCACCTCTTTGCATTCGGTCTTGTCTGAGCAAATTATATCCTGGTATCTTTATGAGATCATCTGATATATTTTCATTGAGCCACGATTCTGTCAAGGCAAGTACATCATAATCTTTATTGATTTGCAAGCTCCCTAATATCAGCTATACTCGGTAGTAGAGATCGTACATTAAATTGTCCAATGTTAAAATTTTTTAGATGAGTATTCATCGTAACTGATCAATGAAAAAGTAAGTAAGTAACTGTAAGTAGATGAGTTATATAATATATAATGAAAAATAACAGATTATTATATGGCAAATATAAACTTTCTTGCACTACAAAGAAAAAAAGAAAAAAAAAAAGAAAATAATTATAATCAATATTATCAGGATTTTTCAAATATCACAATGTACAGTATAGAATGTTATACATTTTCTGAATTTCTGCAAAATTTGCTGACGCGTACATCTATCAGAGGCAGGTAGCGCCTTGGCTTTATTCTTCCGAGTAGAACCGGCTGATGTGCTGTCAGTGTCGATGGAAACGGGTACTTCTGATGCTGCAGGAAACTGCTGCTGTAGTAACGATTCCTGTAGAGTCTTAGGATTCAGGTCAGATTCTTTTTCTTGTTCTAGAGCATCCAAGTCCTCAAGAGAAAATATTTTGCCGTCTATTATAATTTTATTCTTCCTGATTGACGCTTTCAAATTATTGGATTTGGCAGTTTTAACGTGTTGCAATAATTGTTTACGTACTTGTCTGTCCTCATAAATCAAATCATCTACTATCAAGACTGAAGTACCTTTTAATTTGTAGCATTTGCGAACTATTTCAGATTTCAATAAATAGGAAACAAATTCGACAAAAATTGGAGAACCATTCAAATTTGTGTTTTGATAGCAGTTATTGAAATCTGAAAGCTTCACTTCCGTGTCCAACTTCGTGCGGAAAAAGTCTATAACTGTTCCAATAACATCTTCATCCACTGGTTTAAGTCCGTAAATTCAAATTCAGTCAGAATTGTGCATTCTTTCAATGTACCGATCATCTCGAAAGTGAGTCATCAAGATTTATATAAAATCCATCTCACCAACGAGTAAAACGTTTGTTGTGTTGAGAACAATATGTTCTGAAGACCTTTGTGACTTTTGTGCATGAAACATTGACTTTTGTGTTGAATCCAGTGTTGGAACTCTCGACGATACCAGGACTATCCAATATATTCAGGACCACGTTCTTCAGTTTGTATCCAGAGTAATATTCTACAAGATAATACGGTTGAGTACAGTGGGTGACACGAAAATTCAACATACAGGGTGAGTCATATTTCACATTTCGCATGCCCATCGGAGTTTCTGAGGATCTCTACCACGAATTGGATATTTTGTGAACAGATCAGTATTTTGAGAACATTCAGTGACATTTTGAGACTTTCAAGTGATTTGAACATTATTGACATTCAGTGATCTTTGTATGGAACTAAGATCCGGTCGTTTAACTGAGAATATAACTGTGACTCGAACTGAAATGACCCCTCCAACTGAAAACGAAATGACTCAGCAAATTGTTATGACCCAAGAGGTTCTTCAAAATTTGTTATTCGGTTTAATTGGACAACAGCAGCCTACTACTGTATATACTGGCAATTTCACTAAGTGTACTGCTCGTTTTGATGGTGCTGAGAAATCAGATGTGAACTCTTCCATTGATTCGATTACGGTATACAAAACATGTGTCAATATAACAAATGAAAACGCTCTAAAAGGTTTTCCCATGCTTCTTGAAGGACTTGCAGCTACTTGGTGGCAAGGTGTGAAGTCTTCAATTCTAGATTTTGATGAAGCAATTATAGCCCTCAAAAATGCTTTTGATCAACAAAAACCAGCTTATCAAATTTATAAAGATATTTTCTCACGTGAACAAGCAGACAATGAAAAAACTGAGATTTTCGTTAGTCATATCCGTTCACTTTTCTCGCAATTACCTGAAACGCCTGTATTGCCTGAGATAATACAACTTGATATGATCTATGGGTTATTGCATTATAGAATCAGAAAACGACTCTCTAGAAACGATTTTGATACGTTTGCCAAACTAATAGAAAAAGTTCGAATAGTTGAACTAACTTTTATTGAAAAGAAAGTCACACACCCAGTTCAGACTTTTCCACTAAAACAAAAAATTGAACCGAGTACTCCATCAGGTAGTAGAAAAACTGTTCAATGTACATATTGCAAGAATTATGGTCATAATAGAGAACAATGTAGGAAACTTCAACGTTAACGAAATAATACTCTGAAAGAAGAGGTTAAACAACCAAACCCATTTACCAGCACAACTCAAGAACGAAGTTCTTCAAGTCTGTCAACAGTAATTTCCTGCTATGGTTGTGATAAACCTGGATACATTAAGAGTAATTGTCCCGATTGCCGTACCACTACGACACCGACAACTAGTAAACCTACCACAAGTACAATGCAAGCGGATTTTTTCTGCCAAACATTTTCTAATGAAACACAGTATCCTTCGTTGGTTCGTGTGCAAATACTAGATTCCAATGGATTTGCATACATAGATACTGGTGCAAAAAGAAGTGTAGCAGGTGCGACTCTGTACAAAATATTGCTGCAAAAGAAAGTTCCTCATACTGAACAAGCATTACTCATGACGCTGGCTGACGGAGTGCAACGTATTATTTGGAGTTGAAATCATTCTCAACCACAAGGTGATCCCAATTACGTTGTTAGCAATTCCAGAACATGTTGAAAGTAAAACACTCCTTGGACTGGATTTCATTCGACTATCCAATATGGTCTTAGACATGGCAAATGGACAGTGGCATTTTGGGGAAACCCCACATCACACTAACCTCTTCGAAGACGAGGAACAGTACACATTGCCAAATACTGACATTCCAATTTCTAACATTGAATTCCAGAATTTACATCTTCGAGATAATGAAGGTGTCAATTTATCAGAACCCGAAAAACAACAAGTTAATGATTTTCTACGGAAACATCCGAACATATTCTCCAAAAGTGGTGAACCAACTCCATTCATAGAATACTCTATGAAATTAACTTGTGATATACCGATTTCGGTACCACCATATCGTATGTCTGAGAGCAGTAAAGAGAAACTTCGTACAGAACTTGACCAGCTTCTCTCTGATGGTATCGTTGAAGAGTGTGAATCGCCATACGCATCACCTGTCGTTTTAGTGCCAAAAGGTAATGGAGGCACTCGATTATGTGTCAACTATAAATCACTCAACGACATCACAGTATCGGATAAGTACCCCTTACCGAGAATCGACGACCTACTACATACTGCTAAGCGAACTCCTTTTATGAGTACTCTTGATTTACGATCTGGTTATCATCAGATCTCTGTAAGAAAAAGTGACAGAGACAAGACTGCATTCATATGTCCTTTTATATATCGCTACACCCAAATGCCGTTTGGGCTTAAAAACGCTCCGGCATGTTTCCAGAGGCTCATTGACCGATTCAAATCTGGACTGCCTGAAGTTACAATCTTGGCTTATCTTGATGATTTAATAATCTTGTCCGAGAGTTTAGAAAAGCACATACATGACTTACAGCAAACATTTACTCGACTAGAAATGTAAAAACTTCGATTGAATCGTCCAAAATGTTCATTTGTACGTTCCACGGTAAAATATTTAGGGCACCTGATAACTCCAGACGGACTGATGCCAGATCATACCAAGGTATCAGCAATATTGGACAGGGCACCACCTAAAAATGCCAAAGAAGTCATATCTTTCCTACAAACCTGTTCATGGTTCAGAAGATTTATAAACAGTTTCGCTGACGTCTCAAGACCATTATCATCTCTGACCAAGAAAACCGCCAAGTGGGAGTGGAGCGAGCGACATCAAACTTCTTTTGATACCCTAAAGCAGCTGTTGACATCGAGTCAGGCAACATGGCAACCGCAGTTGAGGTTGAACAGGAACTTCAGAGGTTGAAAAAAATCGATTTAATACGTATTATAATCAATAGTGTAGTCCCAAGTGACATCAATCTGAGTGAAAGTGTCTTAGGTTTCATCACCAACAAGAAAAACCACGGATTTATGACCACTGCTAGTGATATATCCCTGAATGCAGACAGTGATAACTTGAAGGTTATGGCAGCGAAATGTGACCTGAAAGTTGCCTTAGTCGAACTGGAGTCATCTAAAATGATCATACGTGAGCTAGAAAGGTCAGTAAATAATCAACAACGCTTAATAGAGTTATTGGATGGAAAAGACACCCAAGTTCCCAATATAAACAAAGTTTGCGAGGTTGCAAGCTCCTCCACAAAATCTCAAACTTCTGGTGCTGCACAAATAGTCGACAGAAAGAAAGATGGACCTAAAGTGGATATCGTAAATAAGACTGCATCCATTTGTGATTCCGTTCCGAGGAAAATAAATGAAAAAACGAATATAGACCCGAAAAAAATGAGTGCTGCTATTCTTCAGGCTGAGACTCAGTCCACACTAAACCATTTGATAAACTTGAACAATGATAAGGATAATCATCCCAATATTATTGTGGATAATCAGGAAGAATGGAGAACCGTCCACACGAAAAGAAAATCTAGACAACATCGAAACTTCCTTGTCGGGGAAAACTCTGAGAAGATCAAGGGTGTTCCTAAGTTTGTCTACTTACATGTATGCAGAGTGGATCCAGCGACCACATCTGATGAAATGTTAGGGCAACTTAAAGCATTTTTCCCCGAGGTCACCTGTGAGGCAATTAAATCCAAACATCCAACCATCTATTCGTCTTCCAAGGTTGGTATTTATGAAAAAAATTTCAAGATGGCCATGAACCCTGAGCTCTGGCCAATTGGTGCTTATATTAACAATTTTTTACATTATCGTCTGAAATCAAATACAGATCGTTAATCGATCCAAATCTGATATTATTGAATGTGAATACAATGAACTTTGACAAAATGAACATCCTTCAGACAGAAATGAGCTTTTACGCTAATTTACAATTTTTGTGTTTAACAGAAATTGGCATCAAGGAAACAATGTTGGACAATATAATTTTTCCTGGCTTCAGTTTGTGTAGTTTTTACTGTAGACCAACGAAAAAATGTGGTGGAGTAGCGATATGGGTGCGGAATGATATCAAGGCAATTGCTATTGATCTTGGTGAGTTCTGCATCCAAAACATTTCGAAGTATGCGCTATCTCATACACACTGAATTTGCAGAAATTCGTCATAATGAACTGTTATAGATCTCCTTGTGGAGATATAGACGTATTTTTCAACAAAATTTGTGAAGTACTGGATCTTATTTATAAACCTGGAATAATTTATTTTGTTTGTGGTGATTTTAATTTCGATTCATACTCAAATGTTAATTTTATATCTTTATGTAATGTGATGTCACGTTTCGACTTTCGCCCACTTGTGGGTTGGCCCACAAGGATTACTAATTCCAGCTGCACTTTGATTGACCAGATCTTCTCCAACTGTAACAATGAAGAATCATGTTATGTTACTGATTGTGAAATATCTGATCATCGTGCGATACTCTTAGATATCAACGAAACCTCTTCTCTGAAATCAATCAATAAAACCGAAATGAAGAGATGTTTCAATGAAAGTAATAAAGTAAATTTCGATTCTATGTTACAAAAAGAAGAATGGAGCAACATTTATGAGTATGGCGATTGCGAAGAAGCCTTCAATTGTTTTTATGACATATTTTATCATTATTTCGAAACTGCCTTCCCCAAACGCAAAGTATTTTTGAACAAAAATAAACAGGGCTGGATTGACAATCTCGTTAAAGAATCCAGCTGCTCATTAAAACATCTATTCTACTTGAAGAAAGGTAACCCTGCTTTAACTGAATTATATAATGATAATAAAAAACGGCACCTTAAATTGGTTAAAGATACAAAAAAGACATTTTATCAAAAGAAAATAAGTATGTCAGATAACGATCCAGAAATTTTGTGGAATGTTGTGTCTGAACTTACAAACAGAAGTAAAAATGCATGTGATAGTATCTTCATTCGAAAAAATGATGACGTTATCAATAATCCATCAGAGATCGTGAATGAATTGAACAATTTTTTTATCGAAGCTCCACAGGCCTTAATACGTGATATTCCGAGTAATGATTATCATCGCCCGATTTTCAATAATGGTAAAGGCATAGAAATGAATCCACACACAATGTTTTTAGAGCCATTTAGCGAATTAGAGTTGTTCAATTTAATCAATCGTAAACTAAGAAGCAAACATTCGTCAGGAACTGACGAAATTCCAGTGTTTCTACTAAAAAGAGTTTTGCACATTATCATAAAACCGATAACTTTTTTAGTGAATCTTTCTTTTTTACATGGTAGTTTCCCTACAGCGCTAACGGTAGGAAAGGTAACTCCTCTGCGTAAGAACAAAAAATTATCAACTTTAGAAAATTTTAGACCAATTACCGTCCCCCAGAGCTTCTCGAAAATCTTCGAGTATGCATTCCTAGAGCGTTTGAATGATTTTCTGGAATCACACAATATTCTGATACCCATGCAGCATGGTTTTCGCTCTGGAAAATCGACTCAAACTGCTCTACTAACTTTTTATGAAAACATTATGGAGTTTATTGGAGCCGGCGAATGCCCAGCAGCAATTTTATGTGATTTGAGCAGAGCTTTTGACTGCGTGAATCACCTGAAACTGCTGGATATGCTGGAGTGTTATGGTCTGAGGGGAAATTCACATGCCTGGGTATCCTCGTTTCTCAGCAACAGAACACAATGCGTCTCATTGAAATTTGATAGAGGTGGTGTGACTTCATTCACTACATCAGAAAATAAACTGGTCCGGACTGGTGTGCCCCAGGGATCTATCTTGGGGCCGGTTCTGTTCCTACTATACATCAATAACATCGATAGGGAAATATCATACTCATTATTCACAGCATATGCAGACGATATCAGTATATTGATCTCGGATAAGCAATCTGATATTTCAACACACAAATGCACAGATATCCTGAATTTAACTACTGTATATTTCAATAGGCAGGATCTATTTTTTAATGCAAAAAAAACACAGGTGATTCGTTTTCATAATTACCAGAATAAAACTGAAGCACTTCAACTGAATATTAATAATACAACCTTACAAAGCACCCCCAATCCAGTTAAATTCTTGGGTATGCAAATGGATGAATATCTGAACTGGATTCCACACTGTGAACAATTGGTTTCAAAATTATGCTCATTGATCTATCTCTTTAGGAATCTGAGAGTCGTTTTAAATAAAAAGCAACTCATCAGTGTATATTACGCGCAGGTTGAGTCCAGGTTGCGCTATGGTGTTTGCTTGTGGGGCAACTCAACAATGGGTAGAAACGTCTTTATTGAACAGAAGGCTATTTTACGATGTATATTCAATACTCCTAGAAGTTGTTCTTGTAGAACTCTATTTATAAATCAGAAAATTCTAACTCTCACAAGTATATTTATATATGAAATTTCAGTTTATGTATTTACTAATAAAAGCGACTTCATTCTAAATAGTGATATTCATGACAAGAACACTCGTCAAAAACAAATGATACATGTCAAAGCTGCAAAATATAAAATTACTCAAAATGCTCCTAAATGCATTGGACCTAAAATATTTAATCATCTGCCAGAAATCATCAGAAGAGCTGAAAATTTATCAATATTCAAAAAACGTCTGAAGTCGCTTTTGTTGATCAACTGTTTTTACACACTCGATGAGTTTTTATCTATTCCTCTGTGATCCACTCTATTATGTACGTGATATATTGTCTAGACCCATAACCCCTTTTGCTTGTTTTTATTTTATTTTATCCTATTTATTTAGTTTTAGTTATAAGTTAGATATAAGGTGCTGACTATTCCTATACAAAATGTAAAATTTTTGTCATTTTAAGGAAAATAAAAGATTGATTGATTGATTGATTGAGTCCTATTTTACGACAAGCAGATGCCCGATTTCCATATTCATTGCGGACCGATGCCTCGTCCTACGCGATCGGAGCAGTTCTCCTCCAGGGGGAGGGAAAAGAAGAACGACCCATAGAGTATGCCAGTCGTCTTTTAACCGCTTCAGAGCGAAATTACCATACTACTGAACGAGAAGCCTTGGCAGTGGTATGGGCAGTTGAGAAATTCAGAGGACATTTGGAAGGAGCAGATTTTGTCATCCAGTCAGACCATCAGCCATTGAAATGGTTGATGACCTTGAAATCACCAACTGGACGTTTAGCCAGATGGGCGCTCTCACTCCAAGGGTATAATATGCGTATTGATTATACTCCAGGTAAATTGAATGTCATCGCCGACACTCTTTCAAGACCGACCATTGACCTCACTGAAGTAGAACTTCAGCAAATTATAATCGACATGCCAACTGATAAAATGGAAGATACCCGAAGTGCACAATTGAGTGATCCGGACGTCAAGAAAATAATTGACTGTTTTGAATCACCTGACCCCTCCGCTACCGACTACAAAAGATGGACGGAAAGAGGATACTTGATGAGTAATGGAATATTATATCGTAATGACCCATTGAACGAATATGACGATCTGCAACAGGTTGTCCCGAAAACAGATATTCAGAAAATACTTGGAGAATACCATGATTCACCATTAGCAGGACACTATGGAGTCGAGAAAACTATCCAGAAGATCCGAACAAGATTTTATTGGCCTAGCATGGTAAAAACCATAAATGAATATGTATCGAAATGTCTTGAATGCCAACGCTATAAAGTTCGCAATTTGAAACCTTCTGGACTTCTTCAAACTGCTGTCATGCAACAAAGATTCAAAGTAATATCCATAGATTTATTTGGACCGCTCCCTGAAAGTTTGAGTGGTAAAAAATGGATATTCATCGTGGAAGACACTGCAAGCCGTTGGGTAGAGATTTTCCCACTTGAAACAGTTTCTGCCGAAGCATGTGCCCGTACACTAGTCAATGAAGTAATACTCCGTTATGGAACACCCCGCCGAGTGACCAGTGACAATGGAACTCAATTTGTCAGCGAAGTGATGCAGAGTGTTGCTCAAAGCTTTGGATTTAAACAATACCTTATTCCTACTTATCATCCCGAAACCAACTCTGTTGAACGGAAAAACCGGGATATGAAAACTCAACTAGCAATTTTAGTTGGAAATGACCACCGGACATGAGAGGACAAATTACCTGCTATAAGGCTTGCTATAAATACAAATGTTTGTGTGAGCACTGGATATACCGCCGCCTATCTTACCTTTGGGCGCGAATTAAGAACACCTGATGATGTCCGAAGAGATATGCGAGCTATAATTGAGGGAGGAAACTTTGTACCTCAAATTACTCCATATTCAGTTCGATTAGCTAATACTCTACAAAAAGCCAGAGATTCCCATGAAATAGTTCAAGATCGTGCTAGGGTCTATGCAGATCAAAGGAGAAGAGAACATCAAACGTTCAAACCAGGGGACCAGGTCTTACTCGATACCCATTTCCTGAGTGAAGCAAAAGACTCTTACTCTGCAAAATTGGCACCACGAAGAGATGGCCCATATCAAATTGCTAAAGTTATTACCCCTACAACTCATGAAATCGTTTCGATGGAACAACCTGACCAGGTACTAGCAAAATGCCACAGTTCAGCGTTAGCACCCTATAGACCCCACGACGAAGAAGAAGCCGTACCATTGAGGCCATTACGAACACGAGGTCGACCACCTGCAACTCGATCCATGAAGCCTGTAAATGCATCGGAAACTCCGCCAGAGAAGGAAAGAGACATTAGAACTGACGTATCAGTGTCCGATGAAGAAACCTCTGCAGAAGAGGTTATGCAACTTCCCGAACGAAGAGACGGCCGACCCCGCCGTGGAAAATCCAAGCGGAGATGTCTTTGTTGTCCAGCTACACATCAACCATTGGAGCACACGCGAGGACGCCACTGTTCTCCAAAGGGGGAGATTGTAACATTATTAAATACACCGACCACTGAGTCAACCGACCCAGGTAACCCAGACCTGCTGAAATCCTAAATAGCAGAGGAAGACATCACCCCGAATAGTATACGTCGTCGTGGAGACCGCATTATTATTCCCGGGTAAAAGGAGCTTTCAGATTCTCCTGTCATCAGTATTATTAGTCATTTTGATTTGTGAATTTTTGATTATTAAAGTTTCGAATACATCAATTACTTCGTACTACGACCCAAAACATCTCCTTACAGCTTGAGTTTTGAGACATGCCAAGTACCTGCAGGTGTACCATCTGAATTGCTCAACTCATAAGCCACTTTTGATAGCACCTTCTTGATCTTATGACGCTGTGCCAATTTTGCAGAAAAATCTTTGGCAGCATCAGACAGGACCATATTGCGCGTCCAGACCAATTCACCTACTTCAAAGATATGTTCACGCCTTCTCAGATTTTAATACTGGGCGTTTTTATTATAAGAAGCTGTCAATCTTTCTCTAACTTTTTATAAAGTGGTGGTAATTTTTCAATTTCCTCAGAATATTTTCTTCTGGCTTCCTCATTATTATCTCACTCAAAATCGAAGTTTTCCCCATAATAATCTCCAGATGCTGGAGTTATCCTCCCATAATTCAAGAAATTTGGACTGACACCAGTCACTTCATGAGTGGCAGAATTCAATGCATGCTGGATTTCTAAAATTTCTTTATCCCAGTGTTTGTGAGAGTCTTTTATGAAACTTCTGATGGCAGTTCCAATAGTGCGATTAACTCTCTCAGTCTTATTAACTTGAGGGTGATACCGACAATTAAAATATATTTTAGGGATTTTGAAATTTTTGACAAACTCATCGAATATCTTACCAGTATGAGCAGGGGCATTATCCAATGCTAAAACTTGAGGAACACCATAAGTCAAAAATACCTCTTTCAAAAATGATACTATAGCAGGAGCTGTAGCATTTCAAACAGGTTTTAAAATAACGAATTTTGAAAAATAGTCTGACGCCACAATAAGAAATTTGTTACCCTTGGTACTTCTAGGAAAAGGACCCATTACATCAGTTCTTACAGATTGAAAAGGAAAACTCACTTTCTTTTCAGCTCCCATTAAACCTAAACGTCTACCATTTAAAGATTTTTGACTACCACATTCTTTAAAATTCCTAATATAACTCAAGATATCTTTCCTCATTTTAGGCCAATAAAAGGTCTCAGCAACCTTTTTCAAAGTTTTGAAATATCCTAAATGAGCAGAAGTTGGTAATTTCCATTCTGAAATGTTAGTTTTCAGAGCTATTTTACCTGGAGTGTGTTTAAATAAATAGTCATCTTTAAATCATCCACTGTGGATATTTTTCAGGATTTTTACTAACATTGTTTTTCTTATTTTCAGATACCATGGTTCAAGATTATCAAGAGCTATACCCAAAAAATTTATTTCTGTGCTCAGAGGGGCTCTACTAAGTGCATCAAAAGTCACATGAAGTTTTTCTCGTCTATAGAGTACTTCGAAGTCGAAACAAGACAATCTCATAGCCCACCTACTAAGTCTACCAGATGAACTAGCCATCTTAGTGAGATATTTCAAGCTTGAGTGATCAGTAATTGCTTTAAAATGTACTCCATCAACATAAGGTCTGAATTTTTCTAAAGAGAAAACAAGAGCTAGACATTCTCGCTCTGTAGCTGGATAATTTCTCTCGGCCCTAGAAAGACTTCTACTGGCATATGCTATGACTCTTTCTTCATTATTTTGCACTTGTGTCAATACAGCACCTAATCCAGTTTCACTAGCATCACATTGGATACAAAATTCCAATGAAAAATCTGGAGCACTCAACAAAGTACTGAAGTGAGGAATAAAACGCCTGTACCAGGAACACATTCCGACAAAACGTTTTATTTCTGTAGTGGTTTTAGGTCTGGAATATTCTACCATTGACTTTATTTTATTTGGTGACGTTCTCAAACCGTGAGAATCTACAACGAAGCCCAAATAATGTAAAGATTCTTTAAAAAATTGACATTTCTTGAAAACTAAACGTTTATGAACTTCTTTCAATAAACTAATATGCTCATCAAAATTCGAACTAGTAAATATTATACCATCCAGATAAACAAACACCTTAGGTTGTAACTCTGGTCCCAAAATTCTATCCATCAAACGAAAAGGCAAGCACTTGAAGTGAAACAAGCCACGACCAGGTACACTAAATGCAGTTTTCTCTCTGCTTTCCTCATCGAGAGGTATTTGCCAAAATGCACTTCTTAAATCAATTGATGAAATAAATTCTGCATTACTGAGCATATTCAAAATATCATCGACAAGAGGAAGGGGATATGAATCTTTTTTTGTAATTTCATTTAAGGATCTTCCATCACAACAAAATCTGAAGTCACCTGAACTTTTTTTTACAAGGAGTACTGGAGAATTTCAAGGACTCTCAGATTTTTCAACTACTTTCAAGGCTAACATTCTATCTAGTTCTTCATTTAAATGTTCCATCATATATGGAGATAATCTGTACTGTCTTTTCTTGAAAGGGGCATTGTCTCCTGTATTTATATGAGCTGTAATTTTATCCGTTAAACCCAGACGATCCTCACTTGAAATTGATGAAAATAAATTCATAATGCTCTTTACATGTTCCAACTGTTCATTTGATAAATTTTTACAAAGACCAATATCTGAACCATTTTGTTAAGGAGCTTCAGATAAAACATTTACATTGAAAATGAATTCACTTTGAATTCCCCATGAATTATTGAGAAAATTGATGGAAAGGGCGAACATTTTGCAGAAGTCACTACCAAGAATTAATCCACATTTCAAACTTGGAATAACTGAAACAGTTTTCAATTCACAAATATTTCCAAGGTTTAATGGTATTTGACATCGTCCTATAACTTTTCGTCCATTTCCATCAGCTGTAGTTACAATCTTTTTCTGACTTTTATTCAATTAAATTTTATATTTTCTCAACAATTCCATAGAGTAAGCACCTAGACAAGTTGAATTTGCTCCACTATCAACTAGTGCAACAATTTCTTCATCATAGAGTTTCAGTGAAATATATGGTCTATTATCAAAAGGTCTTGAAATGAACAGTGGTGAAACATCATTTGATTCACTCACATCATCAACTGTCTTTTTTCTAGAATCTTCACAATTATTTGTTAGAAAGTGGTCACACTTAGAAATATTAGTTTTTCTTCTCCTTCGAAAATTTTGAGAATTTTGGCCAGCAGACAATGAGATTGAGCTATTGCCAACCTGCTCAACCTCATTAACTAGTTTTTTGAATTACATTTGGGGCAATTAGGTCTCATTACATTAGGCCCACCACAACCAAAACATACTGATTTGCGGGATTCTTTACATTCTCGAGAGATATGACCTATTTTTCTACATCGAAAACAAGTTATTTGTCTTGATTCATTATTGGAGTTCACTCCTGAGACAGAAGGTCTATCAGAAAAATTTGACTCATTCAAATTTTGAGAAAAGCTCTTAGTATTTTTCTTACTACTTTTTCCTCTATAATTTCTCTCCTGATTTCCAATATTTGAATCAACATAGGCAAGGTCGCTCTCCAAACAGTTCAGGGATTTTGGAGGAGTATATCTCTGCTGAAGTTCATTACATTCATCAACTTTCCTACAGAAACTTATCAAATCGGCTATAGTGCTTATATTCTGCGAAGGAAGAAGTTTAGTATATCTTGGCAAAACATTTCTCCTAATGATTTTCAAAATTTCCTGGTCTTCTAGAGGATGGCTCAATCTTTTGGATAAATTCAACATTATTGCCACAAAAATATCAACAGGTTCATCTCGACCCTGTGTTCGAGATTTAATTTCCTCCAAAAGTTCATCATTATAAGACGCTGGCAAAAAGGCATTTTCTAATTGAGATACCAGTTCATTCCAATTGAAAATTGACTCTCTAACTGCTTTTTACCAAATCAAAGCATGACCAGAAAATAAATCTATAGCTGATTGGAAAAGTTCTAATTCTGATACACCTCTAGCTTGAGATAACTCTCTTACCCTCTCCAAAGAAGATTTCAAACTACTAGTCCCATCAAATTGTATTCTCCATTTATAGACTGGAAAAGGATTATTATTTCCTGAAGAGAAACTTGTTGAAGCTCTATTAGTATCAGGTTTTACATCAAAAGATAATCTTGCTTCTAATTCAATGCAAGTGGAAACTGCATAATCTTTATATTCAAACAAAGACAATTTCTTTTCTCCAGGTTGATCAGGAATCTTGAAACGTCCTACTCTACCAGTTAAAGATGTCAACCTAGACTCAATTATTTTATACATTTGGTCAGATATTGGACCTGAAAAACTGATAATCAAAGATTCTAAATCTGAAAGAGTTTTATCACTGAAGGTTTTCTTTGAATCTGCATCAAATTCAAGATCCACTAATTTTACTGATACAGTTTCAGTACTAATTAATCTGTTCAAAATTATCCTTTTAGATGTGAGAGTTTTTCTAGCAGCTTTTATATTCCTGATACGCAGCTCATAATCAATTTCTTCTTCAGACAAGAACAAGGCTTCAATCTTTCCTTCCATTTTAAAAATTCAAATTTTTCAAAAAAATCTACCAAAAAACTCACTCAGAAATATTTTCAGTACCAAGTAACAAAATACACACAGAATATACTTACACAACAATAAAAAATTCTTGAAGATAGATTCAAAATAAATTCAACAACGGTCAACTCAGATTTTCACCAAAAAATATTTGTTGTCCAACCTTACAGCACTTTTTTGATAGAGTTGATATAAGTTACACTGTGCGAACGGTCAGCTCATATAGTCGGGGCTAACAGGTCGTGGTTCATTTACTTACCATATCATGTAACTTTGTCAAAAATATAACAATTAGCATAAGAAAGATAGTTCCACCAGAAGAGATTTTATTTGGACGCCATATACAGAAAATAAAGTTCAACAAACCTCTTTCTCAAGCCAATCCCTGTAGAAAGAAATCGTCTGTGCTGAAGGATAGGAAAACAAATCAAACAAATAACATTTAGGTTCATTTACTGACTAAAAAGGGTATTCAAAGAAGTATTAAATCTGCACCACAAAACATTTATACTATGTGTCACAAATAAATCTGGCTGCACCTGAAATGCAACTAGGTTTGCATATTTATTATACAGAGTGTTAAATAATAAACGTTCTTCTACCAGTGAAACTTGACACAATGATCATCAGCTTTGAATAAATCTAATCAATGAAATCAATGGAATATTCCCCAGATATAATGCATTACACCTTCACAGATATAGGAAAATTGAATAATGACTTATCAATTGTACTAGATTCCAAATTGTACTTGATTCCAGATTATAAGAGATTTGATAATAAATGTTTCAAACGATCAGTGAAAACTTTATAATATGCAGAGAATACCTTATGTCAGCAATATTGTGAATGAGCCAGAGCATGTTGTTTGACCAGAGCTTATTGATATTTCCAGCTTCCAAATTACATCCTGGTCAATTTCATCATCATTTTGGGCTCCTGGTTCCAGATTTCATGAGAGCATACGAGTCTGGTGAGTCGTCAGGTGACCTATAAGTATGCTAAGTCCAGCCAGTACGTTGAATTTATGACATCAAGTTGGAAATTACCTCTATCTTCTTGAAATTTACATCAATAGCCTTCCAGCATTAACAGGAACGATAAATCGGCTCTAAAAGCCAGGACAATCTCTCCAGGAAGATTGTTTCATAAACTCAAAAGAAATGCTCACTCTTTTGAGTCCAGAAAAAAGCATTTATCAGCAAAATAGTTACAGTATCTTTCAAATCCAAAAATTGAAGATACAATAAAAAGCAAAAGTAAAAGTAAAATAACAGTAAAATAACCGTAAAATAACAGTTACAGTCTGGCACAACTATAACATAAAGAAAAGGGAAACACGTTGTAATATCGATACCTTGAGATGATGAAAGTTCACAAATTGATTTCCATGAATATGGACCAAATTCCATGAAAATAAAAATTTCTATAAATCAAAAATATTCTTAATAATTGAATAATTACCTCTGATTAGATGTTCTTCACGAGAAATGGTGGATGATTAAAAATTTGATTTAGCGGACATCCACCTACGAGTTCACTCAATGATGGCCAGATGCAGAAATGAACGATTTTAAATTTTTCTTTCTCTTTTCTAGTTGGTAATTCAAATGTTCATGTCATGAAAGTCAAAAAATCATAGTAACCAAATAGCCAGATTCGATTCAACCGTTGCAATAACCGATATCAGGTTCAAATGTATAATCAATACAAATCAATACAGATCAATAACAATTGGAAAACGCTGAAGGCCTACTACCTAGACATTCTGAAGATAAAGCGAAGTTTATCAACCTTGATATGTTACTGTCGCGATCCTGCTTGTTGAAGGTCTGAACGCTGAACTATTCGTTAATGCTACATGGAACAAAGGAACAAAAGAAAAAGAAGAATTAAAATTACAATTTCGAACCTCAACAACTCGTTTGACATTTCATATGAATATTTTCAAAACACACTGAAATAATGAACTTTCATCAAGTCGACAGAACATAACATGCTATTGAAATCAATTATGCAAAGAATATACAGGATGATCTCCGATGTATGCCCTCATGTATGCCAGTGACTCGCAGCTCCATGAAATCTGTAACAGAAAGGCTCAAAATATCCTACAAAAGGGATGCAAGTGCTCAAAATACATTCAGTGAAAACCAGAGTTGAATCAATTACTCTGAAAAGGTCAGTTGAATACTTGGTACTATCAATATTTCATAGAAAAAGTAACATTTACTAGAAGTTGATGTTACAATAGAATACACAAATACAGTGTGCAGACTGATGTTGTCGAAGTATCTTCACTCGCCTATCGTTCTCGTTATATGTCCTTCGAAGTCGTCCTTTATGGTCGATCGTATATGCGATAATATAGGTATGTCAGAGGCTAGAATGCAGAGTTACAGTGTTAACAGAGTCGAAGTCGAAGTTTCTTGTTCTGCCTGTTGTGTGCATATTACACGCTTCGATTTCGTCTTGAATGATCGTTGCGAACTGATATGCTCCAGAAGTATCCATGTGAGATGATAGAAAACAGAGATACGGTGTGCAGATTGATGTTGTCGAATTATCTTGACTTCCTTTTGTTCTTGTTATATGTCCTTCGGAGTCGTTCTATATGGTTAGTACGATCGTATCTGCTATGACTGTAGGCATGTCGGATGCTAGGATGCAAAGTTACAGTGTAAACACTGTCGAAGTCGAAGTTTCTTGTTCTGCCAGTTGTGTACGTTATACCCATTTCGATGTCGACTCATATAATCGTTGCGAACTAATACGCTCCAGAAGTATCCATCTGAGTTGATAGAATACAGAGATACACTGTGCAGACTGATATTGTCGAAGTATCTTCACTTGCCTATTGTTCTCGTTATATGTCCTTCGAAGTCGTCTCACATGGTCAGTGCGATCGTATCTGCTAGTGCTGTGGGCATGTTAGATGATAGGATGCGAAGTTACAGTGTGAACATAGTCACCGAAGTTTCTTGTACTGCCTGTTGTGTGCGTTATACCCACTTCGATGTCTTCTCATATGATCGTTGCGAACTGATATGCTCCAGAAGTATCCATCTGAGATGATAGAATACAGAGATACAGTGTGCAGACTGATGTTGTCGAAGTTTCTTCACTTACCTATTGTTTCCGTTATATGTCCTTCGAAGTCGTCTCATATGGTCAAAATAATCGTATCTGCTATTGCTGTGGGCATGTCAGATGCTAGGATGCGAAGTTACAGTGTGAACATAGTCACAGTCGAAGTTCCTTGTTCTGCCTGTTGTGTGCGTTATACCCGCTTCGATCTCGTCTTATATGATCGTTGCGAGATACGATTCCCCGGCGGTATCCATGTGAGATGATAGAATACAGAAATACAGTGTGCAGACTGATGTTGTCGAGGTATCTTCACTTACCTTTTGTTCTCGTTATATGTCCTTCGAGGTCGTCTCATATGGTCAGTGCGATCGTATCTGCTATTGCTGTGGGCATGTCAGATGCTAGGATGCGAAGTTACAGTGTGAACATAGTCACAGTCGAAGTTCCTTGTTCTGCCTGTTGTGTGCGTTATACCCGCTTCGATCTCGTCTTATATGATCGTAGCGAACAATAATTCCCCGGAGATATCCATGTGAGATGATAGAATACAGAAAAACAGTGTGCAGACTGATGTTGTCGAGGTATCTTCAGTTGCCTATTGTTCTCGTTATATGTCCTTCGAAGTCGTCTTATATGGTCAGTGCGAACGTATTTGCTATAGCTGTAGGCATATCAAATGCGAGAATGCGAAGTTACAGTGTGAACATAGTCGAAGTTGAAGTTTATTGTTCTGCCTATTGTGTGCGTTATACCCGTCTCGATGTCGTCCCATATGATCGCTGCGAACTGATATGCTCCAGATGTATCCTAGTGAGAAGGTAGAATACAGAGATACAGTGTGCAGATTGATGTTGTCGGAGTATCTTCACTTGCCTATTGTTCTCGTTATATGTTCTTCAGAGTCGTCTCATATGGTCAGTGCGATCGTATCTG